GCCATTTATGACATGGAGGGAGCTAGAGGGTATTATGCTAAGTTAAATAAGTCAGACAGAGAAAGACAAATACCATATGATTTCACTAGACATAGAGGAACAAACTGATGGTTGCCAGGTGAAAGGGGGGTTGGGGGCTCGGGGAAAAAGATGAAGGGATTAATAAGTACAAATCAGCAGTTACAAAATAGTTATGGGGATGTAAAATATAGCATAGGGAACATAGTTAATATTGTAATAACTATGTATGGTGTCAGTGGTGCTAGACCTATGGGGGGGATCACTACATAAGTTACATGTCTAACCACTATACAGTACACCTGAAACTAGCATTGAATGTCAACTGCAATTTAAAATTAAAAAAAAAAAAAAAGCCCAGCCAGTGTGGCTCAGCAGTTGAGCATCGACCTATGATCCAGGAGAGTGTGGTCCGATTCCTGGTCAGGGCGCATGCCTGGGTTGTGAGCTCAATTCCCAGTAGGAGGCATGCAGGAGGCAGCCCGTCAGTAACTCTCTCATCATTGATGTTTTTTATCTCTCTCTCTCTCCCTTCCTCTCTCTGAAATCAGTAAAGATATATTTTTTAAAAAAATAATAAAATTTTTAAAAAAAAAAAAGAATGGGTGGATATGGACAGAGAAATGAAAGGTTAACTTTATGATGNAAAAAAAAAAAAAAAGAATGGGTGGATATGGACAGAGAAATGAAAGGTTAACTTTATGATGAATCCTGAATCAGAAAATAGAGGATTTTGGTTTCCAACATTCATATGCCTACAAAGAGCCAATGAAGGGCCTGTGGGTTTCTGACAAGAAACTAAAGCTGAAGGGGCAGAGGCCTGCACTGTGGCCTGCAGCATACAAGAACCAGACTGGCTCAGCTCCATCAGGAGTGTTCCTGCTGGCCTGGGATCTCCCCAATGGTGTGTTTAATTTCAATCTTTTCCTCCTTTTCAGGTTTTACCACAGGAGAATAACCTTCCATTCTAATTTGAAATGAACTATTTATGCCTCTGAACATGCTGAATGACTGCCTGATTTATTTATTTTTCAAATAATACATCTGAATAAGAATTCACACATGACAGAACAAACATAAGTTTAAGAAAAATGCCCTTCCCCAACTGTTGCCTGATTAATCATTCCAAATCACTGCGTGGCCTTGTCATTGGAGTCCAAGAGCTATCTCTCTGCACCAATTACATGCCAGGTGCTGTGTCTGACAGTCCAGATTGGCACTATCAGGCCCTACCACCTGACCTTTACAATCTTATCTCCCGCACTGTAACTTTCTCCACCAGTCCAAACTCCGCTCATTCATCCTCCAAGGCCCAGTTCAAAAACCTCCTACCCTATGGTGCCATTCCCAGTTCTCCCAGGTCTCTCTCCAAGGGAAAGGCCCCTTATGCTTGTGAATTTCCAGAGTCTTTTGTTTTTATATCCTTGACGGGACTCGAAGCTCCCCCAAGAGAGCTTAGCTATGGACAATGGCACACAGTAGGTACCTCAGCAGAGTGTTTGCTGAAATTAGGTAGCACGGTCTCCCACATCCAAAGCAGCAGTTCAACAGGCAGCTTCAGCAGACCAGACAACATTTTGGAGTCGGTGTCTACAAAGTGCTCTTGGGGCGAGTGACGGGGGAAGCCACCGCCTAAAGCGCATCCTCTGACTTAGTGCTTCGCTCCAGCCGAGGGGCCTGCTGGCCGACCCCCAAGTAAAGTGCATGCATTTCACGTATTTGATGAACCTCCCGAAGGGCGTCTCCTCTCCAAACGGACGTGTCAGGTTTCCTTCAACCCCGCATTGCCCGCTGCGTGTCTTCCAGTTCACAAGTGAGAGTCAGACCATTATTCCCAGGACAGTCCTTCTTGCAGGTGCCGAGGGATGCATGCCAGGCAGGCGTTGCTTTGCAGACAGGGATTTGGGGCTCAGGGACCAGGGACTTGTCCAAGGTCACGCCCCGTGTGGACTATTCACCTAACCTCGGCCCCCTAACTACCGGCGAAGTGGAGCCAAGACCTGCAGGTTGTCTGAGGTCGAAAGGAAACGGGTTTGAGAGCGATTTATATGCCCTAAGGCACACACGGGTGTTCTGTAAACTGTGGTTATCAGTCGCTGTGAAAAGGCCGCCCACGGGTTTGCTGAACCAAGGCTAGAGAGGGGGCCAGGCAGGCGCCCGCAGGTCTCAACTGCCACTCCCACGCGTGCTCCCGCGGCCGCACACCAGAGAAAGCGCTGGCCGTTCCTGGCACGGCGAGGCCCCCGTCCGGTGCCAAGGGAACGGCGTTCTGGCGGACGAAGCCCGGGGCCTCCCGACACGCGTGGCCGGTGACCCGCTACCTGCCCGCGGCGGCGCGCGGACTCCGGGAGAAGGTCGGC